TGCACATCACCTAATATGCTTAATTGGTAGTAGGCTTTCGAGCCTATACAGCTTGGAGTAACACAATATGCATGAAGAGGATAATGTGGACAAAATACTCATTTGCCTAATAATTCTGCACTCCCTGTATAACATATGTTTATTAATGAAACAAAGTTTTAGTGTTGTTTTTGTTATTGGTATTGTTGCTTGGTATAATAAGTATTTGTTGGCAATTAAACCTTAACTTTATCATTTCTGCCCATAAGCCAACAGAAAACAATGCCACCATTCACAGCTTGTATTAGATTCAAGTCAATGTTTCTTCTTATATATATTTTTCCTGTCATCCATATCAGTCAGTTTTTCAATGTTGTAATATTTGGTAGCCCTGTGAGTGGTCTATCTATCTATCTATCTATCTATCTATCTATCTATCTATCTATCTATCTATCTATCTATCTATCCATCTATCCATCTATCTATCTATCTATCTATCTATCTATCTATCTATCTATCTATCTATCTATCTATCTATCTATCTATCTATCTATCCATCCATCCATCCATCCATCCATCCATCCATCCATCCATCCATCGGGGTCTGGCCATTTTACTTGTCTTTTTTTTTTTTACATCCAAGTAAACATCGCAAGTGCACTTATAGTTATGTTTTTATATGCTAAACAAGTCCTTCAGTCTCAAAAATATATGTATGCTTGCTTGGGTATAAGTGTGCTATATTTTACATTAGTTATAGAAATGGAAAGCTTCTTTGAAGAGCACCTTTCATTCTACTTCTGGATGGATGTGATTGCCCTGAGGAGATACAACAAACGCGCATGCTGTCATTGATTAAATAATCTTCTATAAAGGACAGATGAAAAGAGAAATGGATGCAGAAAGATGAGAGCAGAGCTAGACTCTAGTGCTAATAAAGCCAAAATGCTCAGCATACTTGGATTTGAATGAGTAAATATAATGTGCAGATGCAGACCTATGAAATACCTAAGTGCACACACTAAGATTTCACAAATACATGCGTGCAGCTCCATCTCTGGCATCTTCCTGTGTACTCACTGCGTTGAGTGTCTGGAACTCTAATACATTATGCATTAGCCCTCAACATGTCCTTGACCAGGGTTACATAAATTTCACATACATTACAGATGTAATCCATTCTAATGAGCTTAGACTTTATCTACTTGGGCATGAAAAACACAAGGGAATTAGGACACTCAAGGCAAGATAAATATCATCATGCTGCATACTTAGCATTTGTTGGTAAAGTTTTAATGTCAGCAAATGTAGGTGTAAAACCATACAGGCTGAGTGTATACACGCTGCAGCACACTGCAGTGGCAGCTGGTGATTTTCCTGAATGGGGCAAAAGACATTAAGGACCTTTGCTTACATAGTAGAAATGCTGTTGCCTCATATGCTGAGCTCTGATGTAAGAACTTTTGTTACTATTATTTGAGTAATTTACTCAAGAAATTAACCACACACCTTTGCTCAGCTTGACTAGTTCCTCTCTTTCCCTACAGCACAGAAAGAAGACTTACAAAATAATGTGGAATATACATTAACTCCCATTTTATTTATAACATGATGAAAACATAGTTTCAGCTCCTTTCGGTGCTTTTAGGCCAACCAAAAGTTAAAGCAAAGTAAGGATGAAATGTTTTACAGAAAAAACCTACCGTATAATTGATCTATTGATTCTGTCTTGTTTTCTTTCGATTTTTCATTTAAAGTGTGGAATAAAGTTGGATAGCTTCTATATAATTATTGTGATGAATGCAAACAGTGACAACCTCTGCTACACACTTGTATTTCTACGTGGCCTCTTCACTGACAGTGCTGCCGGTTTCTTGTTAATTCCATTGTTTACGCAGTTTCAATATGACAACTTTACAAATTTATGGGAATAGCATGTCTATCATTTTATAGCAAAACATTCTCCTGCGGAGGGACTCAAATACTGCCAAAGGCACTGACATCTCCGACACGGTACACTCTGGTGTCTATGCCCTTACTGACAAGGGGTATCAATATTGAACATAAAGAGCCATGTTTATACTGTTTATAAATGAGAAAAAGTCCACATGAAAAACACAGGGTCGTGAGTGGTGGTGTAAATCTCATGACTCTGAACCAGACGACATCGACTGTTTGAGCTTTATTTTATTTTATTTTTTTTTGCTTACTTTAACTTTTGGGTTTATGTCACAAAATACAACTAAAAGTTAGCACATGTTATGTTAATCAGTAAAACATCAAGATAGAGATCTCATTGTAATGTCTTCTATATACACCTGCACTTTTTCCACTGTTGAAGTACTTACCACTTTAAAAAAAAATGCTAAAAACAAGGGTTAAGGCTTAATGGTTAGACGTCAGTGTCTGCATATTTGTATGCACCAACCTGTGTCCTGATCACAAATCTGCTCACAGGGTTCAGTGGTCCTCTGGCCGCAGTAATCCTGGACCCATTGTGTGGATGAATTGGTCTGATAGTAGAGAGTTAGCTTTGCTGGATTTAACCAATTAGAAACATCCAAGAAACTGCCCATGCTCACCACAAAACTACTTCCTGAAAAAAAGAAAAACAAAACAAAACAGGAGCCAATTATTTTGCATGAAAAAAAGGCAAAAATAAACAAACAAACCACAGAAAAGTAGAACAGATGTGATTGTGTTGTATTTATGCTCTAGGTTTGAGGTTCTATTGCAAAATCAATTGGAAAGTAGCTAAATCTTTTGTTTTCACTGTAATTTCATTTCCCATCTGACCAGACTGAATTTAAATGAGAAAATTAAGACCTATAATGTGTATAGATTGGGTGTTGTTGGTAATTGCAGTAGAGGGGCTAAAAGGGTTTCACGAGTCAATCAGTAAACGCTATGCTTAATGACACTGACTTACCTTTCTTTCTTACTGCTCTCAGACCAATCGTTAAACTCCAATCACCGAACAAGATTATCTCTAATTGATGCCAATGAGTTTTGGTTCCAAAGGGAGCTGTGAGAAGGCTTTCTGGATTCTTATACAGCTATATTATGGGTCATGGACGGTACATTTGCAGAAGCATTAACAGTATATATTTCTTTGTCCAGGTGAATTCAAAATGTATTAGAACATCTATATATTAAAACAAAACAAACAGGTTCGGTACAGCTAGATGAACTGCATCAGATGGATGTGTGCAAGTCCTTTGTGCTGTGGTAAAATATACAGCTCATATGAGAATAACAAATAATGTTTCGCCTTTACATTCTGTAACAAACAAAGCAATGACATCCCAAAACTCATCTGTTCTCTCTCTGTTATTTATTTATTTTACCCTTTTAACATTTTGGTTGTTCTGAAGTCCTGACAGAATACACTGCCATTTGTTTCCTCCTACACATGAAAAGTCATCAGCTGCTTCTTTTCATTTGACAGAAAAACACTGCCACAGTACAGTGTGACCAACACAAAGCCTTCAACAAATGTACTTGGTTTTCCCTAAAAATTAAGTACCAAACCATGTGTTAGCATTCAATCTTATCGAGACCAATGACCTGCATGTTTTTGTCCGTTACATTTGATAGCTTGTCAGATGATCCCACATTGTTTATTGGTTTAAGTGTCTGGCGTAAAACACATTTTGAATCAATCAATATGTTTTGAACATTTTCAATTAATAAGTGCATAATTCTGTATAAGTCATAGCAAAATAACCATGGTAACAATCTTCCCTAGATATGAAAGATTGCTGGTGTTCTTGAAAGTAAAGTGTTCAGTACCCAGCAAAATGCCAGAAGCCCAAAATAAATCGCTAAAAGCCTTTACGAGGTCAAAGTGACCAAAAGTAAGCATGACAAGGCCCCTTTCTGCCAGTAGGTCTCATTTACAGTGATACTGGCAGAAGTAAATTCTTCTGCTAACATGCTGAGGAGAGAGCTGATATGCAGCCTTCTCTGAGTCCTGTAAAGAAATCCCACTTGGGGAGTAGGAGCATTGTTCACTTAGCTCTGCATATTATGATTCAAATGCAGAAGAATGGGGAGAAAAAGAAAGCATTGTATATCAGTGTCAATGCGGTAATCAAAATAATGACAGTAATAATGAATGGGTGCAACAAAAAATTTCATTGACTTATTGACACATATAATTTTGTGTTATTTTTCGTTAATAAGTTGTTTGTGCTTTCCTCTATTGTATACTGCTGTATTATTTCAATTATCTACACAATGTCATGTTTTTGATAATTGAGTTACATGACTGGGTATCTAATTGATAAGATTCTTTGACAGACAGTCACATTTAAAATATGACTATTTTTGCAAATATAATTAAGGTATTTACACCATGACTCTAAAGTGAATGTCAGTTAACAGAAAAGCAACACTGGAGTAATTACAATATAAAAACAGAAGAATATGTCGGTACACTTAATTCCACTACTAGTTGATTTTGAGCTGCGTATCTCACAACGTTGGCTAAATGATCTGAGTCTTCTTAATCTGCTGCTCCAGTTTTCCTTTCTTGTTACCTGCCTGTAAATAAACTTCTGTTCTCTCTCTATCTATCTCATTTTTTTCCATTAGGCTCCCGTTAGCTGTAGCCTTAGTGATTATTATAAATGCTTTGTAGTTGTTTTTGTTTACCTTCTACTGTCATGGCAACTGGCTGCTCACATTCAGTTTATTCATCATGCTAATGGCTGATATCACCACCTGACTATTCACCTGCATTGTACCAGCATATATTAGATATAGAGCAACTCACGTCCTTTGTGTCAACTTATAAAGTATATAAGCAGACAGAAGAAACAGAGCATTTCGTCTGTCTGCTTGTACGTTTCCTGAAGTGACTTATAGTTATGTGTTGCTTGCCAGTTGGAATTGTTTTGTCTGTTTATCTCTTGGATTTGTTTGTTTGCTCTGACTGCCTGCCTGCTGCCGACTGTATGCATGCCAGACTACAGGGTTAAGCTGCCTTTTACCACATCTGCTCTGCCTCAGGTGTCTGCTTTTCTGTGTCCGAGTTCCAGCACACACAGTTTGTTTGCAGGGGAAAAACAAAACTAGAATCCTAAAACCCTTAACTCTTTCGAGGTGTACAGTTTATGTTCACCCTGCAGTAAACACACATGCAGTATGGAATGCACAACATGATTTTCCTCGTCCAATATCTTATTCTGTAGTGGGGCTTAAATGCAGTAGTGAGTGTCGCACTACAGCGAAGTTCATGGACTAGGCGAAATTAAAATACACGAGTGCTGGTTTATCATGAATATCTATGATTATTTCATTAAATTCCAAATATGATTTTTGATACCTCGCAGGCTGATCATTAGGCCAAAGGAGAGCTTCAGGGGCATCCAAAAATTTAGATAATTATTGTGTATAAATTGATATTCCTCACTGCTAGTAGCAGTAGAAGGTCAAAAAGGTTACTAAAATAAGTCAATAATCATTCTCCATATTAAATTTGAAAGCGTCCTTGCTGCCAGTGGCAGAGATTTACACTACACTATGTGTGTTATGGAGAGGGAGAAAAAGACAACATTATAGACACTCAAAAAAACCGTGATTATTTTGTAATACATTTTTTGAGTAATTGCCCCACAAAGCTCAGAAGTAAGTGGACAAACTTCATTGTTTTTAATCCTCGAGTCATTGACAGGCGACAGGTTCCTATTTTGTGCCAAGTCTTTATTGTGGCCACCTTTTGTTGCTGTTTGTATATGGATATGACAGCCTTACATTTTGTCAGCAGTAACAAAAAAGCATCTTGTTGTAAGCGCTCTGAAACATCAAGCCATCTTTACACGTTGACAATTATTTGCCTCTTTCCTTGAGTACTTTTCACTTGACTAGACCTTACTGTGGCTTTTATCTGCTTAATTTGACATGAAATAAGAGGAAGCAGCTTTTGTTCATTAGGCAATTACCCAACTACTTTAGAATCTGAAAATAGGGCCCTATGAATAAAAATAGCTCATTTCTAAACAAAATTCATGTGATAATTTTGTTAATCACGTTAAATGAAAACCGATAGTCTGCACTCTAATCACATCTTGATTCTTTCACTTCATATCCACTGCGGTGGTATACAGAGGGAAAAAACAAACTGCGTCAATGTCAAAATACTCTAACGGTATGTTTATTTTACTGTAGATATCCAATAGTTACAGAATATATATTTTATGCACGCCTCTGTTTTCATGAAGTGTCCACGGGCACACAAATTCTGAGAGCGTGGGAGGACAAGAAATGAGACCTCAATGGCAGAAATGCCTTTTTGACTGATATGTGAAATCTTTCAGAGATGTATCAATCATTAGTTAAATTGCCTCAGCTCTTCACTCTCTCTTACTTCACTTAGTTCCTTGTACATATTCAAGTTTTCTCTCTTCTCCTAGTAAGGTTTGTTTTGCAGTATCGTGTCAACACACAGACCCAATTTACAATTAGCTCACTGTCAACAAGGAATTTTAAACAGATTAAATAATACTCTAAGCTGTTGCATGGGTCTGTTGCTTACAAACTCCATTTTTGTGAATTTAAACTTCTTTTGTCAACAACAAATGTTTTTGTGTCCCCATGTGAGCATATAAATTGACAGGAAACGGTATCAACTCCTTATTGACAGAGAAGTTCTTTATATTCGATTTCACTGACTATTTATTTAGTTTTTGTTTTTTTTGGAAAGCATACTTTCTGTCTGTGAAGCCAGCTTCTAATATGGCACTGATACAGCAGAAATATATCTTGGAGTTCTTATGCAACATTAGATGAATATGCATTGTTTGTATCCGGCTAACTGAAAAGATAAAAACAATAGGTTAATATTTTAATCTACAGCATGCAGTCACATGAAAAAGGGGCTAAATACTAAAAGCTCAGTTGAAAAACGAAAAATAATAATAGCCATAGTGTGTGCACAATGCTCTTCATCACTTTAATGGCTTTAAATGTCACTCAGTTTTTTGTGGTGATAATCAATCTTTTTTTCTTCCATTGCGAGCTTTCAGCGCGTGGGCTTTATTGTTCTGATTTTTGTTCATTTTTCGGTTCTAGAACATGATTTTCTCTTTTGTTGGATGAATGTTCATCTTTTGTACCTTATCAGTCGTGGAAAGGGGGCACTGAAACTGAAAGGCATTGAAATTGAAAACCACAAATCACGGTTGAGGGGGTGGGGAGTTTAATGCAGGCCATGTGAAAACAGAAACGGAGAATGTTGAGCTAGCCCCGGTCCATTAGCTGTTCCTCCTAACAACAAAGACTAAACTAATGACATAATACGTTTCAGTGCTCAACAACAACATGCAACTCGACAGTTATCTCTACAGTACGCTGCTCGACTGACAACTGTAACCAGTTATTGTTGGAAACAAACAAAACAATAAGATGCTATACTATGTGGGATAATGGCTATTATGATAACATGCTCCACAAATCTAGCATATCGCTTGTATTAGATGTTTTCAAACTGCTGCTTGGGCTAAATAACCACACTGCATCTTAGTAACATTTTGATGGGTTTAATGTAAGTATAATAAATCCTTGCATCTTCATCTCCATGTTTGATTTTAGTATTTGCGGGTTTCCAGTCAGCAAACAGATCTGTGTAAATTGGACCCAGGAGTTCTGTGAGCTGTCAGATCTACTAAGATTTTCATATCATATCATGTAATTTGAATCAAAATGAAAGAGTGCATAAAAACAGTGATGTGTAGTGAAGTCAGTTTCCAGCAAAAGTAAACACTTTTTGATGCTTTTACTCGTTAAATGTTCTGCCAAGGTCTAATAAATGCCCTGCACTTACCATCCGCAACAAAATGCTCTGGCACATGGAGGGTGACCTTAACAGTGAGGGGGCAGGAATCCTGCGTAGCATAGACAATGGCAATGACACATGTGCTGATAGTAATCAGTGTCAAGGTGACCTTATTTAGAGGACTGTGTGGATGGCCTGAAGGGAGAGAAAGAGAAAAAAGTAAAGGTAGACAGTTTAACAGTGGCCCTTTTGTTTTTATTAGAGTCTTAAACAGGTGACAGGACCATAATACAAACAGCCACACAAACGTTTAACAAAATCATCTCGTTTTGCACTGTCCTTTGCTGAAAAGCCCTCCTCAAAGCCTTGAGAATGCAATTCATTGTACTGCTGATTTATGAATCCAACCCTGTCTCAAGTTTGGCCTGTGTAGATATGACTTGGGTTAACACTGCTTCTGCACACCCCAGAATCATTTGCCAGTATGATATATGATCTTATTGCTACTGACAGGGTTATAGATTGGTTGTTTTGGTTGCCCTTTGGCTCTGCCAGGGATCTTATTTCCAAGCTAAGGTATAGGAAATGAAATTAGCCGCTTAACCTCTGTCTACAGATATTTATCATGGGAGAGAAGTTGGCATGTTAAACGGAAGCTTACTGGGATGTGTGTAGGATAAGGTGATGATAGAGTAGCTTTGGAAACACTGCTCTAATGCGTTGAACAACCTGAAAATAACTCTTGTACTTTCTTAAACCAGTCACAAGAAAACATCACGTAATATTTCAGAATCTGCAGGCTTCAGAACTGCGTGAATAGCTTCTAGGAAGGGAGCTTCCCAGTGTGTATCCTGCGCTCTGCAGGTTTGTTGCAAAAGTCAATAGAAATGGTACAACTGCTCATGGAAGTCTGTTCTCTGCAGTAGAACTCATCACACTGTTTTGTTCAAATAAATAAATAAATGAATACATTTGTTTATATATTTATTCATTTCAATGCCCAATAGCTTCCACAATGGGAATCGACTAATGCTCTGTGTGCTAGTTAGAGGTATGTTACTACATCATTTAGTACCACTGAAAAACACAGCCGTGTACAATTGTTCTGTGAATGCCAATTTCAGCTTTCCCCATATAACGTTTGACTGATCACATTCGCAGTGTTCAAATGGTCAAACAGACTGAAATAAAACAAAGCAATATCATAGAAAAGAAAGTTTCACCAGTATTCCCCTGTGGAAAGGCACTTTAATCTTGACAGAAGCTCGGAGGTAGTGAAATGCAGCTCAAGGCCAAACAAGGAGACAAAGTTAGGGTAATGGATTGACCCACACCGACTTGCACGTCTTACTCACTGTGATGGCTTTGTGAAGGGATAGAAACAATGGTTGTCTACAGAAATAGTGGCTGAGCAGCTAATGTCAGTGGGGTGCGGGTGGTGTCACTGGGCTTGTGAAGGGTTCCCTCAATTACTATAAAAGCTTACTGAGTAGACAAAAGCATGCGCACTCACGATGGCAAACACTTACATTATGGTCACAAACCAAGCATCCTTTCTGTGCTCAAACACACGCATAAAGTCACATGTAAATTTTAACTGAATGCACAAATACAAGGAGTGCACTAAACTCTTTATGTTTACTCTCATTCGCCTCCCCTCTGTCCATCATCTAATGAAAGAGCTGCCTTTTTATACAGGCTGTAACTTTAACACAGGTCATGGCCATGGATTTTATTTTCCTCCAAGCTGTAAGGCCACAAAGACTTGATAATAAAATCTGTCAGACCAAGGTGTCAGTTAAAGTAAAGACGCCTGTTCGAGGGCATTTACACTCACAGGCTATTAACCATTTTCAGAACAGTTGTGGTTAATTGCATGTTCACACTGGCACATTCTGTGTTTAAATGTATGTAAACAGGAAATGTAATGGTAGGAAATGAAGTGACAGAAGGCTACAGAGCCAATTACAGGGGTAGGTTCATTCAATTCGTTCAATTCGTTCAATTCGTTCTTGTCCTTCATTCCGAAAAACGTTGCAATTATCTAAGACCATATGCACATGCTTGATATCTGAAATCTACCCAGCTGCTGTCTCCAATGTACAGAAAAATAGAGACATTTAATTGGAGAATCCGCTTTTAGATGAATTATATATCTGCAGTTCTATAGAGTTAAGAAGTTTTGTTTGTTTTCAAATCGTACATTTCCTCTCTTTTATACTTCTAATAGAAATCGCAATTGGAAAAGCAACTAAATTGCTTTTCTAATTGCTTTTAGATCCTATTCCCACACCAGAGGGCTTACAACCAAATTAATAAGATTATAAAGTGGTGTGTGATTTATTGTCCTCTTGACCTAGTGTTGTTTAGGTGAACTGCAGACACAGGGTTTAAAAACATCATGATTTTCATCATTTTTGTCAGCTACTTTATAGATATACACAGACTATGTAATTCATATACACACAAATCCAAACTCTTCACTATCACATATCACTATGGGAGAGGAAGTTGAAAATCATGCATTCGAGTTATGTGACTCAGCTTAGGTCATCACAAAACTCCCATTGACATCAGCTCATATGTCTGCTTTGAATGTCATTGAGCTGTGGAACAGCACTCCCAGCCCCACTGGGAACATACATGACCCCTTCCTACTTCCAGCTATGCTGACAATTCCGGAAATGACTAGCCTCATTTGACTCAGCTTTAATGTTCTCTCCCATCATTCCCTCTTATATTCAAATGGGATAAGGCTGGCGTTCATTTGTTTTTGTATTATACTCCCTTTTGACTTTAATGTCTTCTCAGCAGCGCGCAGTGGCTAAGAGGGTCTCCTGCTGAGTAAGTTAATGTGTAAAAAATGTACGACATTTATTATAATACACCTGAGTTTCTTCCCACCTTTGCTGCGCCTTCGTCCTCTGTGCTGCTCTGTGTAAAACTTCATTTGGTTGTCATCTTCAGGCTCTGATCCCGATTCCCCTTGAGGACCAAACACACCTCCAGCCTCTGGTGGTGAAATGTAAAGACAAACAAAGGCAAAAATAAATCTAATTAGAATCATAAATCAGTTGATTGTTTGTTTTTCAGATATAGAAAATATAATGCAGTCGGGGTACAAGCAGTTATTCAACCTTTGGGTGTTGTGTATATAGAGCAGGACATAATATATTTTTACAATATGGACACAACAGTACACAGATTTTTAACTAATCAAATTTCCACTTCTTACCACCTTTGCTGCCACTCGTGGTTTGATCTGTTGGTGAGTTGTCAAGTGTTAAAAAGACTTTGGAGCTCAATTTTCTAATCATATTAGGTAAAGTGTGTGCATATTTGCATGTCTGACTCTGAGTTAGAGTGACAGCAAGAGCAGGGCTGTGAGTTAAGAGGCTTTGTTTATTACTGCTTTGGCACTGCAACATCAAAACACACACACACACACGCACATGCACGCATGCACGCACGCATGCACGCACGCACGCACGCACGCACACACACACACACACACACACACACGAGGGCTGACACACAGTGATAACAGTCAGGGATTTGCAAAGTGTAAAACCACTGAAGGATAACAAAACATAAAATATCTGTAAATGGCTTCAAACTACAGTCTCAAACCAGATTAAAAAATGTCCAGTAGACGGTTTATGTTAAATATCTTTATTATTGTACCACGCACATTCTTTCATGTATCATTTAGGTTTAGTCATAAAAACGATCTTATGCTAATAAGATCCAGATTTCCTCATGGTTATACATATGTTTTGCTTGTATTACCCAGAGGATCACAGTGATTACACTTCCTAATCTCCTGGAGTAGAAAAAGAATGAAGGACAGAGTGAAAATCAATGCTTGTGATGACCATAAATACACATCTAAGAAAAAACGTTTCACTCGATGACTACGAGTTAAAACAAAGACAAAGAACAAAATTAGTATAAGTGCATTATGTCAATACACTTATTTTTATGATACATGAGGACAGCTGATAATGACACAATGACAAAAGCATTTACTTTTCTGCAAGAGACAAAAGCTTTATCCCCACAGGAATATGACTTTTAAGTCATATTCAAGCATTCATAATTGTTTCATTCCTGGTATATCATTAAGAAAATGCAGTGCAACGTGGATGAAGGGGGTACTTAGAGTAAAATAGTTCTTGGCCAGCATATGGTGACAAATTGATCATTTCGCATAAATCAAGTCAAATGACAGCTCGCTTGTACGTCCCTTACAAAAGTGACCGCAAAATATATATACAAAATTAATTGGATTCATTCCAGTCACAATTTAAGTGTCAGTGTATAAAGTACAAAAGCTTGGTTATTCTGAAAAATTGATGGCTAAGGAAATTGATCAGGGGCTTGGATGCTCTCAATTTAGGGATGTCACATTGTGTTAAGACTAAGCTGGAGGACGGTAAGTTTTTTTTTCAGAGAGTAAAGTAAGCAAAAGCGAGCAAAAATAAGTAAGATAATAAACTAACACTATTATGAAGATATGGTGAACTCTTCATAGTGAAAAACAGAGTAGACACCACCCACCACAGGCAAATAAAGAGAAAAAAAATAGGCGCAGGAGCAACTCATAAGAAAGTATACAGATCTAACACTGTTTATCATCTTGAAATCTAGTATTTTTATAGATGTCATTAAGTCCTTATTACAATAAGGTAGATTAAAAAAAATCCTTTCTTCCTTGTTCATTGGACACAGTCAGAATTTCAAGGCAAGTGCTGAGCAATGTCAGGTGAAATAGACTCCTTCATTCACTTCATTAACATTATGTTACAGCTCATGAACATTTTCGTGCATCATAAAAGATTTAGACATGATTAAAAGGTCTATCAAGTCTGTGTAGAAAGCATACACTGAAAACTGTAATCATTCTTTTGGTCTCATGCACTTAAACAAGTCTAGAGTTGAGTTGGAATTCGAGTATAAGTCTGGTGCTGTTTGGAGGGTGAAGCCAGGGCAATGTGCTGTAAAATTGGTTCTGGATTTATGCATAGTCTTAGAACATGCCCAAAAAGGTGGTAGAGGAAGAAAAGACAGGGAGTGTACTGTATTTCAGGTAGGTCTTTTCTGTTACACCTAATGAGGAACAAGTGTAATTTATTGAAAAGTAGTAACACATACTGTCTCTATGCAATATTTATGCATATTATTTAAAACCTGTGTATGTCTCCTGGGCCTTAGGTTAAAGCAAGTCAAATTTTAATATATAATCTCTTCTGTTAGTGCATTTATTAAATGCATGAATCTTTTTGCCCACTACACTAATTACATTTTAATATGACTTGGTTTCCATTTGAAATTTATTGGAGATGCAAATAAAAGATTAGAGACCTTGTTCCAGTGATAAAGGAGAATCTTTAAAGATGTGTCCCAGTCACAACCAAATTTTAGAAATGCATCTGACTCATGACTAGAAATGTTGATGTGTCATTGTGGTGGATGTAATGCCTTTAAAGGTAAGTTTTAACACAGTGATGTCCTGTTTATTAGTATTAAATTTATTAATACTAATCAAACACTGGTGTTACTTGCATAAGTTCTTCAATCTAAATGCATTGTAGGCTCAAGTCGTAAAGTACAAGTTTCTACAGTAGAACCATTGTCGCCATGTTTTTTTCTAACGTATTTAAGTATATCAACTTACCACAAGTCATAGTCTTTGAAGAAATGAGGATAATGTAGTGGTGTGGATTGAATGCATTATAAAAACAGGTGCAGAATAAAAGAGAGTCTGTGTTTTAATTTTGCCCCTTTACTTATCTTTGTCCTATCCACCCTCACAATTTTAAGGTGAGTGTTTCTTCTTTCTTTTTCCACGTGGAGTTCAATGTAAAGACCGTCTTGAGGTAATATGCTGAGCATAGCAGGACAGCGGCTTCCTGCCCTGCTTTGCTTAAATCATTGCTCCTTTTTATAGGTGGTACCATAATGTCCCATCTTTGAGCTCTCTGGGGTCATAAAATGCGTGCCTTCTTGGTTGAATGGTTAAAAAGGGCAATATATATTAGAAAGGTGAAGAAAGTGCTGGCCTTTCAGAAGATACGGAAAACATTCCCGGTTATTGTTTTTTGGTTTTTTTTCCTATCAGGACATAGCCTGGGCTCTGCAATGCCCTATACCGTTATTGCTATGAAAGCTGCTTTGGCACTTTGTCATTTATGTCCCATTAAATGAGTCATTCAGTGAAGGCAAACAGGGTCAAAAATGTCTCAGTGTCCTTTAGTTAGAAAGAAAGTTCAGATTATGTAAAGGTGCTTCAGGTCTCCACTAATCTCCTGCTGTTCCCATCTCAACTTTGAATGCCACTTGAAGTAATCACTAGAAGAATGAATGTGCTTCCTGCAGTTTTCAGATTTGATTTGGACGTTGAGTAACTTTGAAAAAAGGAAAAAAGTGCTTCTTCATAAAAATATCAATTGCCTCACACTGTGAAATCTATCAAATTGACTGTTTGATTAATAATGGACCCTTTACAGAACCAGTTTGCACCATACTGGTTCAGAATCTTTACTTGTAATTTCTGTCAGATTGGGATGGGACTTGGAGTTTCAAATGATCCTCTATTAGTGTTCCCTATAGTAGATCTGACTTAGCAATGTTCATTAATTGCAAAAAAAAAGATTAGGACTGCAATTTCACTGTTATTCATGTGAGGTTTATACAGTTTTTTGAAACTGGGAGAAATACACACAACTGTGATGAAAAACAGATAGAAAGAAGCAAAATCAGTGGATAAAAGGAAATACTGGTTACAAAGGGACTGTCACTAAAATGTAAATGAATAATCAAGAGACAGGGATTTTCACACTGCATTAGCAGCTCAGTGAACATCAAAATGAATTTCAAGTTTAATAACTGCACAGTCACAACTCTCTGAACTCTCTTTGTTTGGTATTATAAAGTGGTCAGATAGTGCTTTCATTTATTGCCCTTTTAACCCGACCCTTTGTGAAGTATAATTCCTTTGCACCTTTTGTCTGCTATCAGTGGAATTTTAAAAGAAAGCGGAGCAGGTTCTGTTTGCCCGTCAAAACCTTCTTCATTATTTCATAAATACAAACTGTTAAGAGGTTCAGACATGCATACATTTTATTGAGCTTAGTATTTAAAGTGAAATATCAATTTTTCCCTCAGTTAATATGGATTTTCATGGTTTAAACTGAAATAGCTATTCATACCATTAAGGATGCAGTGACATTGCACTGATCGCACAAAGGTGTGCTGACAGGCAAAGTACGTGTGCAATCCAAATGACAGTTAAATAGTGCTTCCAGGCTAAGGCACAGATTTGATAAATAACACACACAACAATATGTCTGAAACAAGGTGCAAAAGTCTTTGAAAATCTGGCCCTTGGCATTTTCTATTTCACTGCTTCTCCTCCTTTTCCACTACACTTCTTCTTTTGTCAGTTCACTTTTTCCTGTTTTCATCTTGCTTTTCTCTCCCTCAGCGGTAATGCCTTCAAAATCAAGTCCCATAAAAACGTCAGCACCCGGCACTGTAACTAAACTCCAGCATGACTGTACAACAAATTTCAATTACTCGGGTAGACCAATCTTACTTTTACCACCCATTTCACAGTCCCCAAGTCCATTACATAATTTCCGACGCCTCTCTTTGTCACATCCTCAGTTGGCATGATCTGTTTTCCCTCCATCTGTTTTGCTATAAAAAAAAAAAAGAGCACACAAATAGCACACTAATTTTACTCTCAACAAGACGTTTTTTTGGCCAATTTTTTATGTATTAAGGTCAAGTTTAAAAAGTTTTATTGTCACAGGCACAGTAAAACTAAACACATCAGTTCCCATTTAAATTACTGGACAATTAAATTATTATTTTAGCAGTTGCCCTTCACAGAAAGCTTATAAAAATTTTAACTTCTAAATTTTCTAATAAAAAAGAAACAACAAAGGTCCAAGAAATTTACAAAAGCACAAGTAATACATGTGCATACAAAGAAATTAGTTAAAGAC